TGCCAGTCTATGCAAGCGACAGCAGGTTCGTTGCTTGAAGCATGTATTCTGAACCCATGGGCATCCAACTCCATCCATGGCATGTGCCAGTCAAAAGAGGACAACCATGCTTGCATGGGTGCATTTGAGCTCCTTTGCTTCCAGGGAACCAGACCTTTGTGGGCTGTTTCCTGTGCACCGCCTTGCAGAGTTTTTAAGCAGCATGAAGCAGCATAAACGGTGCACGGAGATGATCTTCCAAACAAACCTAAGACATCGATGTTCAAATCCGCCCCAGCTCCAAGAACCCTCCGATACATTTTCAAGTACACCCCAACCCTCCCGTGATGTGGATTCGGTGTTCGGGTTCCCTGCTATGTGCAAAAGGTGTGAAGCACATCGCTTCAGCCATGCTTCGTGGGAGCGAGCTCTCACTCCAACTTTGCCCATGTCCGCCCCGCCTCGGCCAGCGCTCCTGACAAGCCCGGCCGTGCGATGGGCTATGCGCCCCGAAACGCGGAGGATCCTCAAAGGAATCCCCTTATGAAGGCACCCTCTAAATCCGCTTTGAGGGCGCATGTTGGAGTTCCGTCACAGCTTTTTGCCCGAGGTGCTCCGGGGTTTCCCATCCACCAGCTCAAATCACTCAAAAAACCAAACAGCAACCCACCTCGGCTTCTTGGGCGCAGGCTTCGGCTTTGCCGGGCTGGGCACATCCTGTCGGCCAGGGAAGTTCCGTGTGAAATAACTTGGTTGCTGTAACGACCCCAAAAGTGAAGCAGTGAAGAACTTTTGGTGGGTCCAATATGGAAAGTCCGACCTGTTTCAACCGAGAAGTTAAAGTCCAAAGATCCGTTGCCACATGGACCAGGATGTGTGTGTGTGCTCTCCACATGGAACCCGAGAGGCTCCGCGCTTCACAATGTCGAGGCAATGGGCCCCCAGCACCACAGCCCAAGCTGAAACTGTAAGAAACTTGCGGAATATTTATACAAAACAAATATGACTACTGTAGTTACTGTAGCTTCATCTCATTTCCGCACATGCAAACAAAGCGCACAAAAGCCAAACCAACACTCATCCCACCCACAACTAGCTTGGCAGAAGCAACCGCGTCTCAAGCAACCGAACCAAAGCCAACATCTACCGACCAGACATGAAGCCAACAACCAAGTCTGTCAGGCTCGCGGCAATGCAAGGGCCGAACCAAAAACAAACCGACAAACATGCACAGAAAGCCAAGACACCCCACACACACACACGGAGACACAAAGAAAGAAAGAAACAAAGACACAAGCAAAACACACAACCACACATACGCGCGCTTCATTTCATTTGAAGACATTTTTTGCCGAGCACCGGGTGGAGGTGCCTCCAGGGCTGCCCGCACTTGTCGCCACAGGGCGGGACCTGGCACCTGGCGACAAGGCGCTGTAGCTTCGTTCACTGCGTTGGGCGCTGGTCAACTTAAGCCTCATTCCTGCGTTTTTGTCAGGCGAATCAATGCTTTTTCTGAACTCATGAGCTACAAAGTGGGGTCGCTTCAGCGCACAATACCCCGCTGAGTCATCCGGCTCACGCTCTAGGCACTAACTGTCATTCAGAAATCGCCAACTGCCAGGCCACACAAACGCTTCAGGACTTCTGATGAATTGTGCCTTTCCGGGAGCAGTCAACATATGCTTGATCTGCACACCACAGAGCCATATGAAACTTGCTGCCTCACTACAAGCTCGTGGAACCCCACGAAACCTCGACTTGCAGCGTTTATGGATCGGAAAGCAAACTTTGCAATTGCAATGGCTTGGACAAGTCCTGTTGTTCTGGCACATGTCCAAGGTTGGGAGGACTCGCCTCATCTACCGCGGCTGCGTGGCTATGGGGGAAGCTGTAAGGGTGACTGTGGGGGAGCAGCAATACATCGGGCTGGCCATCAAAATGCCCATCCCAGGAAGCATCCTCATTCCTGCTACATGGTTCGATTGCTTTGAGGCTTCCCCGCTTGGACTGGGAAGCCTTAACTTCAGTAAAGGCCAACCAAACACAACACGTGCAACCCAACACCCTGCACTAACACCAAAACTCCCCGCCGTTGCAAAACAGCAACTCCACGACTGGAGGCAACAAAAACCCTTGATGGGTGCAAAGTACTACAATTGAAACAAGGGATCCAAATGATCCAACTAAGGGAGGTTCATCTTGCCCTACCGCCCGCAACTCCCAAGCCCACCTCGTCCGCGCTGGGCCCTGCGGTGCCTTCATCCTGGCGCAAGCTGCGCCGGGGTTTGGCCAACGCATCCCAACCCTAGCCGTTTGGAATCCACTGGTAAATGATGTGAACCCAAAGTGAAACCCGTGTCATCGACTTAACACTCAACCAACAAGGACACCTGTAGTTCCAGCGCTAAACAACTCCGTGCCGCGATGATTCTAATTCAACTTTGGGCGGCGTGGCTGCACGAGGTGCGTGAGGCACATGGTCTCAATGTGTGACACAAGGCATATCGCGACAGGCTTCGTCAATCTCCGGCAGCCACAATATCAGAACCACGCTGAGCCACTGCAGTTGTTTTAAGTTGATGTAGGAATGACAGATTCGCAGTGAGTACATGGCGAGCATCATAGGCACATAGGAGTTGCATGCCGTGAGCGACATAGTTGAGACAGAAGCAAACTGTTACATTCACGGAGCGGCAGTGCTTGACATGTTTGGACCCGTCGATGAGGCTTCTGTGTGGTTATTGCATCGAATGCATTAGTGACTTCATGAGTGGCATGGTTTCTCTCTCTTTGCCCACTTGTCTGTGTACATTCATTTGTGTATATAACTTTCTATATGCATACATATATGAATATATAAACATATAGGTATATATGCACGCTGTTTGGAATCCGATCTTACGTTCTTTCATGTTCTTGCCCTGCGTTGCAGGAACTGCTGGCTCTCATGTGTGTGTGGGTTGACACTACCCAATACCCAAATCCAAAATTTTTGCTTCTCGCGACAAATTTAGACATTGGGACAGCTTGGGTGCGTTCTTCGGGCGGCCTAACATGGAAGCTGTAACTGGCTTGCACGGCTTTTGCTGGCTTTTCCAACAATCAGCAATAGCTGCGCAAGGGAAGCCATTCCAGTTCCTGTGTTCCCCAAGAAAGCAACAAAGCAACACACAGGATGTCCCAAAAGTTGGTTCTTGATCTACTTTTTACTGGGGAAACATTCAAACAACAAGGCCAAAGGCCGAACTAACGAGCAACCACGCACCTTCAAGGCCTGCTTACAGACATGCGATTGTGTGAGCACGGGCAGGATTTGGGCAGCATGTTGGCTGCTTTCTCCGAAGCAAGAGGTGTCGTTTCTATCAGAGCAACAAGGAGGCACAGAGCTTGAACGAGCAAAAGCGATCCAAAGGAAATGCCTCTCTGGCGACTCTGGAGCCTCACCTTTACGGCGTGATGTGTCCAGGGTAGGGATGAATGCAAGTGACCCCAGTGATCATCCCTTTGCACTGCATTCTGGACTTGACGCCCTTCTTGGTTGCTGTTGACCCCCCTGCAAAAAGTTTAATCTTTTGCGGGTTTAGTGGAAAACCCCTTGATTCCCAAAAAGTTAAAGTCGAAAGATCCAACCCAATAGCAGTCAAGCCCTTCCCACTCTTCCAGCGCCATTGGGGCAGCTCCATGAGAGCTTGAAACGCAGATCTCCGCTGGCCTCCTGGGACCGGTCGCCACAGCCGATGAGCAACAGCAGGGCTGTGAGTAGGCCTGCCTGGAGCTGTGTGTCTTGGCTTTTTCGCAGGTTCGTTCAACGTGTCGAACAACCGTTTTGCGAGGCACCTAAGGAGAACCCACAGGAGAATGTTTGAACAATTGGTGTTTGATCATGTTGAAACTGAAGGTTGGCCCTGCCTTTGAGCGACGAATGCCATTTAAACAATCCATACAGGGAACCACAAAGATGCAGGTTAACACGGGAATATTGAAACTTGCGGTTGGGCCCATTGCGAGCAGCGGCCATTTATTTGCTTCATGTTAGTCGGCAAGGTGCAGTTATAAACCTGTATCCTGACCCTACCTCAGTGTAAGAGTTCGGATGCTGTCGGCAACAAGTACATGCGATTTTAGTGCCTGCATGGAAGGCAAAGCATCATGCTGAGCCAGGTTCTGTTTATCACAGACTGGAGCAAAATGGAGCAAAGCAAGAAAATCACACAGCAACGGAGATTTTGTGAAGTCGTCTATTCGACACATCGCCTACTGAAAGGACACCCTCAGGCACATCTGATCTTAAGGGTCAGAAGAATTTGGCGGGGCCCTGGACAGACCTACGGCCTGGAGCTTGCTTGGCCTGTCCAAGAATAAGTCTTATTGAAATGCAAATTGTATGTGCATGTATAGAGGCATATGTGTATATTATATGTGTATATCAGTCAATTGTATATATGTTACTTGCAACTCGTGGGAGGACAGGGACCCAAGGGACCTGATTTACAACAAGGCACCTTCGCCAAGAGCGAATGCTCTTGCTTTCGGGCTGCATTGCGCACGTCCCCTCAGGCATGGTCTCCGCAGCTGGAAACCCGAGAAGATCGAACTGGCAAATCCAATCTGGCGGCAAAGAGGGTCCGGACCAGGAACGATCTCCTATCTGGTGGCTGGATATCAATGCGTGGCAATTGAATGTCCACTTGGGCCGGAGCAACAGCAGCACCGGCCCGACAGGGCAGGAGTCGCCCCCCCCCCAGAAAACGGTACCCCCCTGTCAAACTCACTTTTATGCCCACGCCGCCCAGGTACAAACCTAAAGCCTCTTCGAGGCCGGCTTTCGGGACCTGTGCCACATTGCGCCTGTGCCTTGCGCCTCAGCGGGCACCGGGGAGGAATCTTTGCCAGAGTTGAACCCCCGAGTCTCTGCGTGTTTTGACTGGCGTCTTTAAACAATGCCAGTGAAGCGGCTTGCTGACTCCTCCATCTCTCCGCTTCGCGGATCTTTTTTGGAGCGGCCACCAAAAAGCATTGAGCTAGCGATAGCGGCAGGTGACGAAAGCAGCAAGCACGACCGAAAAAAAGAACCAGACACAGGAGGCCTCAACGCTGTGTACAGTGACAACTTCTGAAACAGCCGCTCCGAGGCAGAAAAACAAGCAGTAAGCGAGGAAAATGCCCAAGGTCTGCAAGTGGTCGAATCTCCGCCAGGGTGCCGCAAAGCGGTCGCAGAGTTTCAGCACCAACTTCATGCTCACGATGAACCAAAGGCCCGTCAGCGGGATCACATAGCCAGCCACATGTGCCACAAGGCTATGCGCTGGAGCGTGCGCCATCCAACGGGCCACAGTGCCGTCAGTACCTCAGCCCATGGGGTTTGATTGCTGAGAAAAATCGACGCCTGCAAACCAACTCGGCGGATTTTCAGTGCACATCCCTGCAAAGGCTGCTGTGCTCGACCAAGAATCTTGAGCTCATCGGGCCCGTGGCCATGAGCAAAAGATAGGGTAGTGACACTTCCATGGACGTCATGGCTAAGAGCTCCTGGCGCAAGGGGCCCCGCACGTAGTCCATAAACGCATCCTCGCTGCCGTACCATTCACGGATGGCCGTGTAGATGAACTCCTGAGGTTGAATCAAAGACCTCTTGGAAAATTGATCTCTGGAAAAAGACAAGGCCATACGGCCATACCCTTGCACTAGGTCCCAGGTATCCTACACGTGCCATGTGCGAGTACGATCTTTCCAACGGGGCCATGAGGTTACCCTTCAGCTTTCCTCTAATTGGCGGTTTGGAGCCCGGTGGTTTGGTGGTTTTCCGGACAGGTTTCCCATTTACCCACAAGAACCAGGGACCCGTTCAAATCCGAACACCCTCAAATGCCCAGTGGCCATGGGGTTGGTTGAGTTTCAAGCAGAACCCTTCCCCCAAAAAAGTGAGGAAAACGGGGCGGGTTCCACTGGGCGACTGGGCACCAATCCCACCCACCACTTTTTTGGGCGAGGCTACCCTGTCCTTGTCCAGCTCGTTGCGGCAAAAGGCGCTCTTCAGGTCGAAGTGCTCCAGGCCCAAAAACAACTGACGCTTCTCCTGGTGAACGAAGGGGGGGGGTCTTCCTGCCATCTTCGCTGGAAACGTGCTTTTTTTTTCCGAAAATGCACGTCCAATCCCCTTCTGGTATACATTTTCCTCATATTATTCAATATGTAAACAGCCAAAGCACACACACACACACAAAAAAAAAAAAAACGCAAACAACAATGAAGAAGGCATCAAAACGGCAACGCCTGCCCCAATCTCCTGGTTGTACTTTCGAATCATGTGGACCATGACGTACACGGGTGCTAAGCCCAGGAAGGTGGCGAGAAATAAGTTGACCCTGGAGCAAAAGCCACCAGTTGAAACATGTTTAGACCTGGGCCCGTGGAGTTTTGCATTTTGTGGGTTGTTTCTTAAACATTTTGTACCGTTGAGACGGGAGCCCAGGTTTTCGTCGTGTCTTTCTTTATGGCCTGGCGGGTTTATGTTTACGCACCTTTGTTTGAACAACCTCCTTTTGGTTTCCATTTGAAGGAAATGGCCCAGGGCATGGTTGTTTCAAAACGGGCTCGCCCACCCTCTTGCCCAGACGGTTCTTCAAATGCATGCTTGCCCACACCATCCTCACGACGTCTTGAAATACGAAGAGCACTTGCAGCAAAGCAGAGGCCAGGTACCCCCCAACAATCAGCACAACCACCGTGGACTCCACGAAGAGCGGGGCGAATGTGATCTTACCTCTTGGGTTCGCTTTGCGGTACGCCGCCAGTTCGAACCTCGGCAAACGTGGCACTCTGCAAACATGACGCGATTTCTTGGGCCAAGCCTTAAAATCCAACATGGGCAGGGGGAAGCCCGCAACTGCCCCCAGCAACTTGGATACAAGGTGATGGGGTTCAGTGTTCTACTCCTCCGGGCCATCCGAAAAGAGACTGCTAAGATTAAGGCCAGAGTAGTTGTGTCTGTGTGTCTGGGATTTGCCTGGGAAGCCTCTTTCTCTTTTCTCTTTCCCAGGTCCTGACTCCCTTGGCTCCGCATCAAGGCTAGTCCTTGCAGGCTGGGAAAGGCTGATAACAAGCAACGGCCGAACCCTGAGCATCACTGTAACGTCCGGCTGCATCCCCAAGATCATTGCAGCTTTTGTGCCAACTGGGGAGCTACAGGCCCGGGCCTGGAATGTTTGGATGCAGAAACCTCTGGTGGACTCAGAACCCCGCACTATGAACACCAGTCTAATCGGAAACCCTGACAAGAGAGTGCAAAACGTTCGCAAGGTCTGGCTCAGAAGCACGCACCAAAGTCTAGTCAAGTACGGCGGGCTCCACAGCACCCGAAGCTCCTTCAAGGATGCGTGACAGTGGCTGCATGGGAGGGAGGTTTTGGAGGGGGCGGACCATGTCAGAACTGGTTTGCAAGGCTATGAGAAGGAAAGCAAGACAAAGAAGCAAGCACTGAGCAAGGCCCAGAAATCGAGCTACGAAAGGCAACTTAGTGCAAGCTACGTCATGCTGAGCAAACTGGCAGCATCATTTGCTCAAGCGGCTGAGAAGTGCTCCCAAAACAGCAAAGGCAAAGCGTGTTTGGCACAGAATCAGGAACACACATGACACCCCAGGTAAGAAAAGCTTCCAAGAGCCGATGGTCCCGAACCAAACTGAAGTCACCAGAATTTACGGACCTTCCAAACTCCCCTGCTGCAACCTCTCCCCATAGTGAGAATATTCTCCTGGGAGCGAGTCCCACTCGGTTCGACTCTTGGGAACGTTAAGTTGGGATCCTCTTCCTGAATTGGCGTTCCAGCGCTGGAGGGGTCATGATCTGTACCCAACTTTGGCCAAGGTCCTTGGACAACTTGAGAAAGCCGCCCAGTCCGTAAATCCCGCGCTTCATCAAGTCGGGGTCGACTTGGTGGATGCACGCCACATCCAAGAAGCACATGGTGCGCTGGCCAGGGATGTACGGGACCATCAGCATGCCCAGAATCAAAGCCAGTGCGCCACTCATCAGGAGCCAGGGGAACCAGGGGCATTCCCCCTCAAAGTCCAGGCTGGCCTGCTCTGTAATGAAGGGCATGGGCAAGAGCTCATTTTTGACCATCACCGGAAGAACTGCCATCATCAGCAACCAGATCACCAGCATAGGTCGCCATCCAAGTTGTAACATCAGCGACAACACTTTCCAGCGTCCAGGTGTCAACCAGGTATGCGACAGGAACACGTCAAGGCACTCGGCTGGCTGAGACCTAGCATGAAACCATAGGTATTGGAAAAACCAGGGGCTACCCCCACAGGAAGGCCTCAGAATTTTGAGGATCTTTTGGCGGGAGGACCCTCTCATGCGTCAAGGGGGCCTTGGATAATGAGGATTGTCCTACAGTGCTACTGCGTGCGCGAAACGCAAGAATTGACTGGAGCAAATGCCTCCATCCAACCACACTTTCGCAAAACGTGTGGGCCCACCTCAACCCATTACTCATTCTTCCCCTCATGTGGCAACGGGAAAACTGGAATGGGTCTGGGTCATGAAAATTGGGGGTGCCTCTTAGTCTTGCCTTCAGCACGGGATTGCTCCATTCCTTTTCAGCGGATGCTGATGCAACAAACGGTTGGCTTTTGTGATTCTCACTCCCAAAAAAGAAGCATGAAAATCCCTCGGCCCTCAGGCCCTGCGGGATCAAGGCTTTGCTTTCGGCTGGAAACTCCGCGAGTTTGCAAAATAACATTCCAAAATGACACACACACACATTCGCAATCAAACCTTCACACTTGGCTTTGCAATGCTCAAATCAAATGATACCCGATTTCCTTTTGCCAGTGACCTTGCCCATGAAATCTGGTGACACGAGTGTTGATACTTATTGAAATGCCCGAGCCTGATCTTTCTCTCCGAGAGGCTCATGCAAACAAGGGCACCAGCAACCAGAAACATGTTCCCAGTGACCCAACCTCCCGGAAATGCTAACCGTTTTGACACCTAACCACCATCGGGGGAAACCCATGCATTACCATCCTTGTGCTTGCGAAGGCGACGTTGCCTGGAAAGTGAGGATGGTTTGACCAAAGCAAAGACAACCATTGGATAATCACACTTTCTGAGAAAGCCTTTCTATGATACTGAAAAAGGGCCATCTGCATGACTACGGTTCAAGCGAATTCCCGTGGTATCGCAAACAGTGGCACCGGAAAATCAAACAAACAACACCCTCGAACATGCCCCTGCGAACAAGCACAAACACACAGAACCACAGGCGACCACCGCTTTGAAGACAGGGCTTTCCGGCCTCTCCCACAGCCCGGCGCGCTGCTTCTCGGGCATATCCAGGGGTGACCTGCGCCAGAGACGCCCGGCGCCCCGCAAAGTGCTGTGCAATGGCAGGCCGCGCACCAGCTGCACATCCACAGCCAAAGGGCAAAGCCTGCGTCAAGGGAAGTCATGAGGGCCCCCCTCTTGTACATTGGTACCACTTTACACTATATGTCACCTTCCTGATAGAAACAAGGGAGACCCCGCCAAATGTGGCTTCCCTTTTGTTTTGGTATGTTTTGTTTTCCTAGGCTTCTAAACACTGGGGAGGTGGAAATTGGCTAAGGGAACTAAAAGAACTCAATATCAGTATAAACGGGCGACCCCTCAAAGTGTGGTCCCCATGTTGTTTTCCCTTCTGCCAAGCTGACCTGGGTACACGGGTGGCACCACCCAGTGTTTCGACTGGCTGTTCCCCCCAGCAATACAGCCTGTGTTCAAAACGGTCAGTTGTTTTTGGGTGTGCCACACCATGGCTCATTTCAAGCCACTATTTTTTCATGTTTGTTGCCCACAACCCCCCTCCGCCCCAGATCATTGTGTAAGATCAGGCACATCGCACATGTGTCAGGGCGATCCACGTTTTGGGCAGATGTTGCCTTGGTCCGAAGCAACCACGATCACAGGCCATGTGCAGAGCAGGCGCTCATGGCATGCTGCAGCCTTTCCATATGTTATACTTGCTCCACTAGTTAAAGGGGCAAAGTACTTGGTACTTGGTACTGGTTATAGCACACTCAGGAGACTCATACCATGGTAAGCGGGTTGTAACAATGGTTGTTACCCACTTTGCAAGTACCCTGCCCCTTTAGGTAGCCTTTGTTCCTTGCCGGCGCTTTGCTGACTTTGGATTGCATGGCTCGTGCTGGGCTATCGAATTTTGGGAATCCGCGCTATGTCGCTATGTGTCTGCCACTGGCACTGAGCCATTGGCTCGGGTTCAAGTTCCTAATCTGGCAAACCAAAAACAAAGGCATCACTACAGCGACAATTTTGAAACTCGGAAAAATATTAGCTGCGTTCAATGCAGCTCTTGAGCCCGGAGAAAAGCCTCGAGTTGCTCGCCCGTGCTTGTCGTTCTGCTTGAACTTGTGACCCTGCCCTGCCATGCTGTCTTGTTATGCAACAGTGCCGATGCTTGAGATGTTACCTATGCTCAAACTAGTCAGAGTTTGCAGTGCGCCAGTGCTGGGCATTGAATTTCGCGCCATGTCACACTGCTAGGGTGTTCAACCACTTGATGTTTTGCCCACTTTCGGGTCCTGAGGGGTGTGCCGCGTGATTGTTTTCACCTGGCCTGGGCTCCGGCTCTGTCAGCTTCACATCCTGGCCCCGGACCTTCTCCAGGACTTCTGCTTGAAGCGACTGGACCTTCTCCGATTTGAAGGCCGACACAGGCTCAACCACTTCCACTGGGATGGCCTCCTCCTCCTGACAGCAGCTCCCAGTCTGCCCCATGGCGGCTGCAACGCCCGTCACCGCAACTCCTTTGGGTCCCTAGCGAGTTAATCACAGGAACAACTGGAACCAACTCTGTCGATGTCCGCCCCTTGGATTTGCTAGGCGTGCGGAGCGGCCTCAAGCCAGCTGTGTAAACACAATCTTTATACAGCTGTGTACATGTGCAACTGTGTAAATGTACATGTATGTCAATAAACTTGGCTGTTGCAGAATCAGAGACCCCCGAATGTGTGTATGTGTGCTGTTGCACCGTTTGAATGGTCCTTATATCGAACCTCAACGACACAACCATGTTCAAATATTATGAACATCTGATGACCCACGTATATTCAACAACTGTACACGCTGATAACATCTGCGCTCTTGCCACAGAAGTGACGCTTAAACTCTCGCAACAAGACGTGGGATGTCGTGATGGCAGCCTGATTGTGCTTGAGCCACCGACGTAACGATCCAAAGCGGTCAACCAATCAATCAATCAATCAATCAATCAATCAATCAATCAATCGATCAATGCACACGACAGCCATCCCGAATAGCATTCATCTGGCGAGAAGGTATGGCTTTGACAACAAAGGCAAACCTCGGGTTGGAAAGCAAAATCGCTCACATACCTTGCCGGACTGTCCTAAACCACGCGGATTGTCCATAAAACGGCGAACCCGAAGAATCCACTTTCATAGCATTGAGAGCAGGTTCTGTTCCACTTGCGCTGGGCGCCCCGGCCAAGGCAGTACCGTCTATTCCTCCGGCGGTTTGGATGGCCGTATGATTGCATGTCCTCTTGGGCCCAACCACCACTAAATCGAGAACTCCACGGTGGAAAGCAATAGATCTGCACAGGTAAAATTATGACTTACACCGCACACAGCCCTCACGCGGGCCGTGTGCGACACAGCCTGTTGCTTCCTTGTTCCCCAAGCTGCAAAATTAGCCGTGCACTGCTCGGTAGCCAAATCACAGAGGGCAAATCCACTTCACTCTGCCGGTCCTGAGTCGCTCGGCAGACTTCTGCCAGCCTCAGCGCTTGACATCGAGGCGAGGCGCTTTCCTTCTGATGCCAAAGCCGTGGCGCACTTTTGGCGAAAGACATGGTCGACTGGGATACTTCAGAAGTGAAACGGAATTTGCTGACAAAGTGTTCGGTCTGGTAGAAGCGGTTGTACACCATGGCGTGCTACAGAAGACTTCAAACTCGGATGCACGTGTAACTTGTCGACATTGGAAACAGGTATACATGGAAACTGATTCAGACCTGGAGATGCTGGCGTTCTGAAGTCCTCCATGGGCAAACACTTGATTTTTGGAGAACCCCCCCCTGAACACAGAAGCGACACACGTCGCCACCACGGAAGATCTGCGGATTTAGTTGCTCACATGTCATGCAGCATTGGAGCTGCAGGTGGCTGGGCCCACTCTTGTCCCCTGGACTGCAACTATGGGCTGACCACAACCTTGGCAATCGCTAAACCTCACAACCTTGTTTTACCCCCAATCGGTATTCATTCTGTCCGAGTCAAGACGTCCTCCACACCGGCTCGACTGGGGCCCGAACGGAGAGCGCTCCAACCATGGCTGACCCTGAAGAAAGGAGCGTGAAAAAGGGTATCCTCAATAAAAACACGCACACCCTTGTCTTGACATCCCCCTTTGCTGGGGGAGGGGGATGGGGGGTGGGTTCCCCAAATCCATTTTTCTTCTCCGGAAAGGGACATTGAAACCATTGATGGAATGACCGGGGGCCACCCGGACGTTCAAAACAAGTTGAACCACTCCAAATCAAATGCTGTCGTCCAGTTCCACCGGTGAAGTGCAAAAAAAAAGATGTGCCATGCACAGCGGAATGTCTCACCTTGTGAAAGATCAAATTGCTCAACGCAGCTCGCAGTTTCTCATCCAAACGCTCAATCGTCACTGGTGCCCGAGTGGCTGGCATGCCTCTTTCTAACCTTCGCCCATTTTAAGTCTGTGGGAGGGTAGCTGGGCTTTGATTGTGGCTCATTTGCTTGGGGGGACTGTGGCGGCATGTCAGCCTCACGGAATCTGCCATGTTTTCTGCATTGTTCCAATGCGGTGCGAAGTCAGTAATCCGTAGAGGGACGCGATTACAACAAGGGATTGCTGTTGTTGAACATCTCTGTTTGTTCCTTCTTCCCACGAAAATGTGGCTTTTTTTGCGGGTACCCTTTGGTGGGGTTGGCTTTACAGGGACACCAAAAGGAAGCTTCCCCCTAGTTGGTGGTTTGGATTGGGGCTTGGGTAATCGGTGGTTTCCCATTTTGCCTCTACAAAAGCCTGGACTTCGAATCCAGCCCGCCAATCCCAACCACCACAGGGACACCTGAGAAACTGGGCTGTCCTCAAATCCCTTGCTAGAAGTCGAACTCTTTGCTGGCTAAATGGAAACTCAGCCACTCAACCAACTAAACACCTACAAGCTGAAGGAACGTGCTTTTCTGGAAAGAAGACATCGGACGCGCGCCGCATTCTTCCGGAGCCCCGAAACAAACTTCGCCGACCCCACCGACCGACGTGTCATGTGTCGCTGGAGGCTCCGGCGGATGGAGCGGAGCTCCGCGGCGATGGCCTCGTGCACCCGGGAGTCCAGGCAATGGCCCTGAAGAGCGTTGTTGCGAGCTTTTTGCGCTTCTCGCCGTTTTGGGGGTCGGGGGCGTTCGGGGCTGAAATCCTTGCCAGGGGCTGTGGAGTACCAAAAAGCAAAAAACATGGAACTCAGGTTGATTTCCTTGTAACAACGTCTTTTTCGAGGTTTGCGTGGGGGGGGGGGGACAAACAATGGACGTCCTCTTTCAAGGTTCTTGGTGTAAATCTTAACGGGGGGTCCTTATTGAGATAGGGATTTATGTCCACCTTGAGGTGGGACCAACCACTTTTGAAGGCAGAGCGTCATCTAGAAAGCCAGCCAACCTTGATGGCCGCCCCCAAATTTCTTTGTGCCATAGGGGGTCAGGAAAGCGTGTCGTTTGCTTGTGACAATTCATTCCGTGGGCCATTTAGCACCCAGTCGTCATTCCCATTGAGGCTGACATGATGAATGAGTGATTCTTCTAATGCTCAGCCGCCCATCAATGGTCTGGCAAACTGAAAGGGTACCCTCAACAACACATCCACGCAAGGTTACGACCGGATCGACTGTCCCAAACCCGTCCTTGAGGACGTCCCAGTCGCCACCGTTGTGGAAGGTTTCCATGAGGCGGCTGTGCAAAGGGGTGACCATGTTCCAGTATCGCCTCGGGAGCCGACGCCCTTTCCAATTGTTATGTGAGTCATGGCAGGCCGACAGCGGCCGACAAACAAAGATGAAGGGCTGGTGAATCGACTACGCCAGGGCCCAGGAAATCTTACACAGCTGATGGCGAGTTGAAATGAACATGCAGGGGATGGAAGGAACCAGTGACTCAGAACATTGGGAGCACCGTGTCACCATGGGCACTAGAGGAAAAGGAACGCCTTACTTGCCATGAGGACGGATTGCTCCCCCGCCAAAAAAAAAGACATGCATGGATTGCTTGGTGTCCCCGTGAAATCCCTCAACATTGTCCCGCTGTAAGACTCCTTATCCCTGTGTTTCGTGTTGCTTTCCATAGATTCATGGACGTTCCGCCCAAGAAAACGCGCGGTTTCATTTCTGGCTTCCCCTTGCAAACCTTCCAGCAGCTGCCCTTTTCACTTCTTAACGCCCTTTCAACTTGTGGCTCTTTGCGGCCTCGTGGGCCTTCCCCCAAGCCGAGGACACCGACGCTGCAGCGAGTCCCCGAGGCGTCGGCTCCCAGGCGAAGCGCAAGGCCTGGAGCTCTGTGAAGAGCGGTCCTAGCGAGCGAGCCCAGCCTTACCCGCGGGGTGGGGGAGTCCGGTAAAAGGTGGGGTGGGGTGGGATGGGGGGAATTATTCTTTAACTGCAGCTCTTCCCTTGGGAACAGAAAAAAAGAGGCTGGCTGGTTTTGTTGATCGCCTGTTAAAAGGACATCAAAAGGAACCCCCACCCAAGGCCTCTTGACAGTCCCACCAACAAATGTTTGCTGTCTTTTCTTGCTTGGTTGGCACCTTTGACTTGCTTGCCCATGGAAAAGGACCAGGGCGACACCCGTCGGACTGTCGCCTGTGGCCTGACCTTCGGCTCTCCTGCGCTGTGCCCTGCAAGGAGGCTAGAGTCTGGAGGCCTCAGCTCAAAGGATTCCGCGTGCCAGCCGAATGCGGCGAGATTTTTTTTTCTCGGTAGGTGAGCAGAGTGGTGGTGTCCCTCACCCAATCGGCTTTGGATTCTGAACAAGCGATTTGGACGTCACACGTGGTGGGCCTTCTGGGTGGGAGTCGTTTAAACCAGCTGAGAAGCGTTCGCTTAACAAAGGGCCAGGACAATGGGGCTTTGAAGTCTGAGTGTTGTATCGAGGTACTAAAAGGCAAAAACGCGTCGGCCAGATCCCAGCCAAGCACTTTGTGCAAGCCTGTGCAGTCGAAATGGATGAAGATTGCAAGAGAGCAGTTGTACGCGCAAAAAAATGGTCCGCCCCAAATCTCGCCCAACCACTTTGTGCGAGCCTGCGCAGTCGAAATGCATTTCAAGATTTAATCAAATCATGGCGAGCACGGCCCTTTACCCTTAACATAAGAACCCTTATTTCCCAAAAACACATTAACAACCCCCGTTTCTTTCGTTTGAGAAACTTGGGAGGAGCGTGGCATTTGAAAGTCGGGGGCCGAGTTTTCCAGCTGTGGCCCTGGCATCGTCTCCACGAGAACTTGCAATGCAGTGAGACCTGGGCCGTTTAGGCGGGAGGCGCAACACCCAACACATTCTGCGAGGACAACGAGGCATGCGAGCAAACGTCCTGGTTATTCCACTCCCTTTTGGCTGTTACTATTTGAGTCATAATCAAAACCCGGTATTTGAATGGTCTGCCCAGAACCATGTAAAGAATTAAGAAGGCGGCCATAGCTATTTATGGTTGGGATTGTCCCTTACTAACCTTCATCTA